GTTTTGGTTTTAGAGAAATCAAAAACGAAAAATGAAAACACTTTTGTTTTTCGTTTTGGTTTTTGAGAAATCAAAAACGAAAAATGAAAACACTCTCGTTTTTTGTTTTTTGTTTTTGATATTTCAAAATGAAAAACGAATGGACGCAAATATACACGGACCCTCCATGCTATATTTCGCCTCTAATCTTTTACAATCACGATATGACTAGATACTTGATCTTTTCTGTAATATTATCGAAATATTAACTTTGAGCTGGACATACAGCTTTAACAGATACACATAAGTCTGAAAAGAGAGGAAAGATCTACACAAAGTCCATATGAAAGAAATCGTTTATGAATTACCTATAGGATCTATTTCCATTTGATATATTTTTTGGTTAATACACCAGTTACACATAAGCGACTTATCAACCCTGATCTTGAAATCATATGCGCGTTTTAGTTTAAATCCCGCGATAATTAACGATATTATACGTGACAGGGGGATATCCGTTTGACCCTTATATTTGGCAACACACAATAATAAATCAACCGACAGTACACATCTCTCTCTCTTGGTGTTTGCTGGAGGCAGGTGAACAGATGATACCAGTAAACAGTATTTTTGTCACGGCAGACGCAGCTATTTGAGAAGTTGTCACTGACATCATAGATATAATAGCTATTATATCTTTGGCAAATGCTGACATTAAACAATTGTATATTAACAAATGTAACTGTATTATGATTGGGACGAATTAATTTATATATTGGTCCCAGATAATTTAATTTTAAGTTATTAATAATCGTTTATTTTATATATAATATTCGAAATAAAAAGTATGACCGTTTATACAGAATACGAATATTTAAAATCTTATTGAGAAAAAAAAATCAGAATAACATAAATTCAGAATGAAAAGATGTGGTATGATTGCAAACGAGACAACTATCTACCAGAGACCAAATGACATAGATGAAAGCAACCATAGGTCACCATACGGCCCTCAACATTGAGAAAAATCCATACTGAATAGTAAGCTATAAAAGGTCCCGACACAAAACAATTCAAACGAGAAAATAAGTCTTCTTGTTGACGTAAAGAGTTCATAACAGTGGTATTTATAAATGAAATTTTTTAAACAAAAGTATAAATCTTGCAGTTGCTATCTTTTGTTTGCTGCGCTACAGTGCTGTATGTCAGTTTGATTATTTGTGAAAAGAGCAAAACATTTTGTTAAAAAGAAAACAACCTATACATCAGAAATACATTTAATATCAGTTATGTTCCAGTATCAATTCGCTCTGTGAGTACCGTAAACAATTCGCAGTTTTTCTCAAATATTTTTTTACATCTTCTTGTAACATATAAAGGGTTACGGTCTACAGTTAGGTTTATTTCTATAGACTCGAAGTTTTTATCTTCTTTTAAACGAAAGCCGGTTACTGTTATGGTGACTTTTGCGTGAAATTGTATGGGTACGAGGACCAGTTACCACCTGTTGAGAATGTAGCTACTTAATAATTGAAATTTCATCTTAAGGTTGTATGGAAGTATAAACGAAAATGATAGAATTTTTCCTTATATACTTTGCCAAAGATTTTGTATACATTGTGATATGTTCAAAAATAAAAAAAAAAAAAACAATGATAGGTCACTGAGCTTGTTTTCACGCTACCGGCTGCGAAAATATGAAACATTTTGTGTGGATTATACAGAGAAAAGGCTTTATTATATGAATTTTTGAAAGTAAACTATGATAGAATTTTAAAATAAAATGTGAGAAGATAGCTCTTATGAAATGCTTTCATAATACCAAAAAGAAAAAATGGAGTCAGCGTGCGTTTTATCCTGCTAAAGCATACATAGCATATACCAAAAATAGAACACTTTCCTGTAAACTGTAATAGACATGTACATTTGTTTCAAATATTTCTGCTTCAGTGATATTTTTTAGGACTGTCATGACAATGAAGTGAGATATAAGGCAGTTTTATAATACATATCAGATATTCAGGTTTACCTTCAATTTTCGATCATCAAACTTTTAAACAATGCATTCAATACCATTTTAATTTCTAGGCTATGCTAATGGTCGACATTGTTTAAGCAGTGGTTCAGTGCCAACAGCCAGAGTAATTTTCTACATATTTTCAATTTTTGCTAATTCTATATAATGCATATCTTAGCATAATTTGTGTCCAAAATTTTCAAAATTTTATATAAAAAAAGGAAACATATAATAACATTTCAAATTAATTTGAAAAAAACCTCATAATTTAAAAAGAACAGTATTTGTGGTATTGTAAGGATTTGTTCAGGAGGACGTCTATATAAAAAAAAATGTACTAGTTAAATCCTTGTTATTGTGAAAATTATTTGTTTACTTATTATTATTAATAATGCATGAATTTACAACAAGATATCATTTTCGGTAATTGAATATCCTATATTTACCACGCTTTACCATAAAATAAGATTAAATTGCTGAATGACACCTCTCCTAAATTATTAAAATATATCCAGTTGCATTCACCGTAATATCTCAGTGTAAATTAGGTACTTTAAACAGAAACAGGGTTAACATTTTTAATATCTGTATTAGGGGATGACCATTTGATTTTCGTGGGGGGGGGGGGGGGGGTGTTTAGAAAATGAATATCCTGTCCTAGTAAGAGCTAGCAACAGATGAAGATGAATATCCAATCTGAAAAAATCCTGTCTTCCGTCTTAATATCAAATGGTCGTCCCCTGTTCAGTAACTGTATGTAGAAAAGGGTACGTTTTTATCAATTGTCACCTGGTGAGATTGTACACGGTAAAACTAGGATCCCACGTGGCTAAGGTGTTAATTGACTTCTTAATTTATGACCTAATATATGGATATGAAGTGACCCCCACTTATTTATCTATTTTTTTCTTCCCGCTAAGTGAACGACCTCAGCGTGAATCCAAGCATTTCTTCGTGACAATTAAAGGTACAAGGTCAGGCGGCATATCAGATCGTCTATTACTGCAAACCAACAACACAACAGTAGTCCGTTTTAAAATCTTTAAATGTGTCATTGTTAATAAAGTTGTCTCGTCAATATATATTTTGATTCAAATGATGCTCGTGTTGCATGTACATGTAAACGCAAACACTTAATCAGGTGATTGCTTTTCCCAGGTCTGCATGGTCACTGCTTATCAACCGTAAGCCCCCAGTCGATGAATTCTGGGGAATTATCGCGTGATTTCATAGTTTGGCTAATTAGGTTAGACATGCCCAGTAAAATGTGAAACTGGTGTCTTTAATATTTTTACCTTATATCGTAAACAATATCGTAAACAATATAAGTAAACTCATCATAGAAACCAGGCTTAAATTTTTGTACGGCAGACGTGCGTTTCGTCTACAAAAGACTCATCAATGACGCTCGAATCAGAAAAGTTAAAAAGGCCAAATAAAGTACGAAGTTGAAGAGCATTGAGGACCAAAAATTCCGAAAGGTTAAAAATGGAAGGAAATTGTAAACATATTATAAAAATAAGCAGTACAAGATTAACAAAACTTTAAATGACATTTGACGAACATTGATTGTAATGAAGACACCATCTATAAATTCGTCAATACGAGTGAAATATTCTCTGACTGCGTATGTGACTGATCATACCCCTAACTATAGGAGTGAAGGATATATTGCAATCACATTGTCCGTCCGCTCGTCCAACACATATGCTCGTCACACTTTTCTCAGAAACTACTGAACAGAATTACTTCATAGCTGATCGTCTGCTTGACAGTGATGAGTTGTAAAATTGATCTCTCAGACACTTACTTCCTGTTTGCTGAAATTTTAAATATGGGAATGAACTTAAAATTTTCCGTTGTACATTTCTACAATACTATGAGGCAGATCGACTTCATATTTGTTCAACAGCTTAATATAATGTTAAGTTGCATTTTTTAAATCTGTCGGACACTTACTTCCTGATTTTCGATACTTTGAATTACGATTGGATGTATGCTTAGCACGACAAGGCGTTCATTTTTGTTGCTCCGCAATAACTTATGTACTCATTTTCTTTAATTAAGCATGACCAAAACCGTTAATAAACTGCTCGTAGGATATATACCCCATTTTTTTGCATTTGTGGCAATTATCTTGAAAACTTAAATAGAAATATACAAATATGAATATGAAACTGTAAACACAGAAATAAAACAACTTTGTTTTGATATCCATACCCCTTGTAAAATCTAGTTTACTATAATAGCAACCAATAGTAAACAGTTACAAAATGTATTATAAGCATAAGCAGTTTTGTAGTTTTGATAGCAAAACACATTTAGAAACATAACCGTGAAGAATAACAAACGTAAGAACTAATCCAAGATACCATGCTCACAATTTGGTACGACAGACGCGCGTTTCGTGTACACCAAACTCAACAGTCATAATCAAAACATGTTGAAAGGCTAGTTCAGATACGAAGTTGAAGAGCATTAAAAGTCAAACACGTCTAAGGCAATCTATGCCTCCATGCATAATTCAACATTTTATAAAGAGTAAATTAATAGAAATTTAACCTATCAATAATATGGTCAAAATGGTTTGAAGAAAGACAAAAATGAAATACATGGTCCATAGAAAACTGCATAAAATCTTAGCATTCAGCAACATGATCCTTACTTAAATGGGTAAGAAATCGGTTGCTCGTGAAGGTTGACCTTTTTGTATACTGTAATGTCACCCGTCCTGATGATCATGCAATGTAATATAATCCTCGGGTAGAACACAAACAGATTCGTATTAACTAAGCTATGTAAATATGAGTTCTTCTAGGACAAATCAAATACGCATACTTTGTCACGTTTTGACATTTCGTTTGTTTTTGTTCAAGTTATTTTAGTAATATTACATCAGTTTTAAATGTAAAATTAGTTGGCTGGTATTGTGCAATTTTATCAATAGAGATTTAAAAAAATTGCTGTACAAGATAATAAAAAGGAGTTTTTCTTTATTATTTAGTGCATTTCAAAATGGTATACTACGATGGTACATATTCTTTATACTATATCTGCTTTGAAACTGATGATAATGGTAACTGTAAGCATGCAGAAGCAATGGTGTATGGTAGAAAGCGTACGATAGACGAAGCAACACGGGAGAGAATCTTATCACTGTTCCCGTCTTTGTGTTTATCAACTGATTTCCTACAAGATACAGTGCACAATGGTAACGTTTACAGATTTATATAATTTTAGTAACAAAATCTTAATAAATTTGGTGCGCACCCGTTTGTCCGGGAGCACTTCTTACTTGCTAATCCCCTTGGGGACTAGCAATCCCCCAACAGCGGTATCTACCTAGTGCTAAACATGAAAATAATATTTTCATATAGTGTGCGTCCGAATAGCTGATTTGGTTTTATCATCATCAGTAACGCTCAAGCCCAAAAATGTGAAAGCAAATGATGTAAAAATACTCAAATACTTGAGGAGCTATTTGTCCAAACGAGACTTAAAAAGAATACACAAACCACCATAGGTCAACTCTATCTGAGGGAGTTAACTTAACAATTTTAACAATGTCTAAATTTCTCAACGGGGAATTAAAGAAAGGTATGTTATAAATTATGTCAGTACTGATGCACTAGCAGTCCATCATCAACGACATCGACGCAGTGTTAAACATGAAATTAATACTGCATAAATTAGGTTCGTCGATAGGGCTTGACCTTCATTGTGACGAAACATTTAGAGCCAATGATGTATGCATACTTGAAGAGCTATGTGACCAACATTGATCTTAAAAGATATGTCGATATTTTAAATATTACTGCTTCGATTTTTTATTATGCAACTTTATTATGCAACTTTATTGTGTTGAGTTATTCCAAAAAACGATATCTAGATCTGCCAGAAAGTCACATCATATTTTACGATTTTTTTAAAACTATTATTATATCAACTGTGTGTGCAATTTTTCGTTTAAAGATTATCAGCTACTAGCTATAGGCAAAGAAATGATTTTATATTGACCAATAACTTAATAATGTCGAAGTGTACCTTGTAGCTGATTTCAGACCTACTGGACAGGCACTTCTTTTTTGATTTCATGCATACTTTGAATTTTAATTATACTAACAAAACAGAGTCTTTTTGTCTATGTCCAATAACAAGTGTGGGTACCCTTTGCACGATGTATGTTGTTAATCTCTCCTGGGTTCAGTATAGAAGAGGTGTGATCACATTCCCCTATATTCATTTCGTATTAATGCTCGATAACGGGGAGTTAAAGAAACCTAGTAAAATTCGATCCCATATTTTGCTGGGAAAACATATTTTGATAAAAAAAATCTACTCAGAATGTTTTAATGAAATTAGCATCTACACACACTCAGAAGCCATTGGTTATTTTTTTTTTAATTTCACACTTTGACGTACTGATCAACTTTAATGGTATTTAAAGTACCTGATAAAAGTTATTCCAGAAGCATGTGTCGTGCGCACAACAATAGTGTATTTATGTTTAGGACAGTTGAGTCGCTACACTATGTGTTGACTATTAGTCACCAAGGGAAAATCGTGGAATAGTTATTGCGTTGGTACTGGAATGATTTGATTGATACAAATTTCTCTACACACATTGTTGTCAATATAATGGAATTTTATGCGACTGTCATACAAGTGAGAGGTTTAGCTAGCATTAAAACCAGATTTAATCCACCATTTTCTACATAAGGAAATGCCTGTACTATGTCAGGAATATGACAGTTGTTTACCATTCGTTTGATGTGTTTGAGCTTTTGATTTTGCCAATTGTTAAGGGACTTTCCGTTTTGAATTTTCCTTGGAGTTTGGTATTTTTGTTGTTTTACTTTTTAGCACATCAATTTTGTTGTTAACTGAAATTAAGGTGACAGATGCGTCAGGCGATGCTAGATTTTTATGCTCTTAAACGTTAATAGTTTTGGCTTCCAAACTTTCGGTCACGAGCTTAACTGCTACATGTAAATGTTATTACAGAAATACTTGTCATCTGCAAGGAAATCATATCTTTTTGTATGAAATCATTTAAACTGAAAATAAAATATTTCTAAATATTGTATTTATCATTATAGAATTGTCCGTGTTAAGCAATACTAACTGCCCGCAAAATTTAAATGAATGCAATGATACAAATTTATGTTTACTTATCAGCTAGAACTCAAATATTCCATTTGCATTTTAAAGACATAAATCAAAACAAAACAATGGTAAGGTTTGTCTTGTCCGTTTAACGTAACGACACTGATAGGGACAAATTATGACTCAATATTAACTTTATCTATTGCAGTTGACTGTAGTTATTGGGTTATACCACAGAAAGGTAATAAGTTATATTTTTATTATAAAATTTTGTAAAAACAACAAATGAAACATCATGTTTCTTTAAATTTAAAGTTGTTTGCCATTACATGTATTTTCAAAATTAAAAATATTAACTATAAGGTGTATATTCAAATATACAAATTTGATATCTTTAGTGCATTCATTCCGAACAACAGCTTTCTATTTGTTCAAATTTCCCAATGCATATACATTTAAGCATTCTTTTCAAACTATAAAAAGTTTTTTTGTTAGTATACAATACATCTCACTAGTAAACGAATTTTATTCTGAAATGGTCATTTTGAACTGAACAGCTCTTAAAAGACTGAACAATAAAATATGAAGTCATTTTCGGTTTTCAGTCAATTTTAAGACTTATCCACTGAGATAAAGTCAGTAATGGTCGGACAATTCGCTTACAGTCAATGAAGATCTGTTCAGTCTATGTCAAGACTGTTCAATAGTTGTTATTTACATGTACAGATCACTCACTGAATTGTCTGAAAAGCTGCTGAACTTACTGCATTGACTGCAAACGAATTGTATGAACAGTACTGAATTTACCCCAGTTGATAAATTTGAAAACTGAATGAAAGACTGAACATGACTTCATGTTTTATTGTTCACAATTTTTAGATGATGCTAAGGTCTAGATGACCATTTCAGACGAAAATTCGTTAACTAGTGTCTGAATATTCACGAAAAGTATTTTTCATGTAACATATAATGGTTGTAAGTTTAAAGACATAGTTTGATCACAAACAAATGATTTCAAAAAATAGATACCGGGCAAGATATAAGAAAAATTCGGAATATCAATTGCTAATTTAAAACGAACGTAAACTGTTTGTTTTACTGATTCAACTCTCAAAGACTAGAAAGTAAGAAGATGACTACGGATGGTAAACAATAAGGTTATTAAACGTATAAAAACAGACAATGACATGTCGACAAGGAAAAATTTTAAGAGACAAACAACAGTATAGAAAATAATTCACGTAAACAAAAATCTTAATATCGATCACCACGAACCCTTCCATAATACGAGGTTCCTTATTCATTGTGTTGCTTGTACTAATTACAATTCCTGTTAATTTCGCATTTGGTGATGTTATAAACTAGGAATGGAGGACGGAGATAAGGTGATGAAAAAGAGCATATCCGGGGTCTGTTACATAAGTATTCAATTACATGGAACAAATTAATAATATCTTCAAATAAACTTTCGAACAGATGATATCTACTCTACCATTAAGAGCTCTTGGTTGAAAGTCTTCATTGAAAGCAAGATTATGAAATTTCAAAACGAAAAATTGAAGTCATCTATGTTTTACTTCATTGTCAATTTCGAATTGTCATGATATGCATCGGCGTAACTGTATTAGTGCTTTTTTAGACCTAACTGTATCAGAGATTTTTCCTTTATTTTTCCTTTATTTGGATGAATTAATTCGATCAAACTAGTTACAAAATTTATAAGGGCCCCGCTATAGTGATCGGTCTGTCCGTCCTTCCATCTGCCCGTCCGTCCATCTGTAACAAATTGTGTCCGCTCTATATCTAGAGAACCGTTATAATTTTATACTTTATACTTGACATGTATATTAACCAACACCAGAGGGTGTGTCATAATGTTTGTACAACTTCCTAGGTCAAAGTTCAAGGTCAAAAACTTTGGTTTCAGTTGACAACCCCATGTCCTATGGTAAAGATCGTGTCCGCTCTATATCTAGAGAACCGTTATGATTTCAAAGTTTATACTTGACATGTATATTAACCAACACCAGAGGGTGTGTCATAATGTATGTACAACTTCCTAGGTCAAAGGTCAAGGTCAAAATCTTTGGTTTCAGTTGACAACCCCATGTCCTATGGTACAGATCATGTCCGCTATATATCTTGAGAACCTTTATGATTTCAAAGTTTATACTTGACATGTATATTAACCAACACTAGAGTGTGTGTCATAATGTATCTGGTGAATACAGAAACAGTACAAAGTTCCAACAATTTAAATGGCATAATTCTGGCTTGACAAGTAATGCGAAATAATCTGTGTCTATTTCAAGAAGTTTATTTTTCTTTTATATTATATTTCTAAAATTAAGGGTAAAGTGCATCCGATGTGCTGTTTAATAGCACATGTAACCTGCTCTAAGAGATTCAACCACTAATATCTTTAATAGTCAAATAGTAACCTGTTATTTACAGCGGGGCCCACAGAGATGGCTCCCATCTCAATGATGTCTAGTTTATTTCAATTTATCCAAAAGTTTAGAATGAAGAATACTTGTGCACAGGAGAGGAGTCAAACTATTGCACGAGGTGCGTGACTTCGATTACATTTACTCCAAGTTTTGTAGTGTCCACATCTGAACCCTACGTTTAGTTTATGATAGAATGGATGTAAGCAATTTGAAATATGTTGAAAGTTTTGCAGATGTAGCAACATAACGTAATGTGTTTCGAATTTGGGTTTCAGTACAGTTATGTAAGGTCTTTTCGTCGTATTGGAAATGACAGAGGCACATTTATCAAACCCATGATTGTCATTAATTTCCTCTCTACTATATTTCGTTGGATAATCTGTTATATAACTACATGCATATGAATCTATAGATTTACATATGAGAGTTACAAACAAATGATATTGTGTGTAGCGCATTCTGCGGGGTATTAACATATTCGGCATCAAGGTAAGACAAAAGAATACCTTGTTTCAGTCTTTGAATGAAAATAAATGTAGACCCTTTTGAATGTTCGTTTTTCTAATTTGTATAGCTTCAACTCTTTTCGAAGGAGTATTTACGTTTTCCTTGTCACGTTTTTCCCATTGTCTGTCTTTGTCACATTTTTACATTGTCCGATTTAATGCTCTGAAGAACCCATTATCATTCGAAAGTTATGTTTCAAGTTTATGGATTAACGATCCTTTATAGAGTTGACACCTATATAATACATGAAAGGGAACATCGGGTGTCATTTAGTCGTCAATGCTGCAATCATGCACACCACGAGTATGTACGTCGTTGCAATATGTATTCAGTTTTTATTTGAGGTTATGATTGGAACAGACTCATCTTTTTATTAAACAAAGGAAGGTATTTTAGATTTGATTGATTTATAATTGATACTGTCTCAATTAATCTTTGACCTTGTTTGCAAAAAAGGTTCAGAAAAGATCGTTTCTCCTTTTCGTGTTTCTAATGTCAATAATTCAAATTGTTTCTTTTTACCATGACATGAAACACAATCGACTATTTGTTATACAGCCTACGGTAGATGGGGTTTTAAATTAAAAACGTTAGATTTTTTTTAATACTTTGCCATAATACAGTTTATAAAGAAAATTAAACGATAGGATTTTAAAAAGAAATTATGAGAAATCGCTCTTATAATTTGCTTTCAGAAAAAATATAAACTGGGGTCACGTAACTCGATCTTTTGTTGTTGTTGCTACAAAACAAAATTGATAAATCTACTATACATTCTTTTATAAAATTAAAATCGGAGTTATCTCCTCTGATATGACGGATTTGGAAAAAATACAAGTTAAATTGCTATTATTAATGTCCAATTATTTTCAATAAAACTATTTTAAATGTCGTAGTTCAATTACCATATGAACAATATCGAACTAAAAGATAACCTACTATTTCAGAAACTGTATTACCAAAATAACGCAATTATTATTTAAATCTACCAAACTGTACACTGTCGTATGTCTGATTTAGTATAAAAACCTGTATTCAATGAAACGATAGTTTACCAAACACAGATCTTCCACATAATTGATTAATACACTTCACATAATGACTTACAGATCTGAAGCCGGGGCCTGACTACTGTAATGTTAAAGACGTTCCTGCACAGAAAGTCGTGAATAAAAAACAAGTGAGTTTACATAGTTGAAAAATGGATACTGGCTTATAGAATAGATTAGTAAAAAAGTAAAGTGAAAAGTATCTTTGCACCTTCATTCTCAGTTTAAGTTAAAAAACAAATCCAGCTTCATGTTATTCTCAACATTCCTCATCTGAGTAAAACAGTTCTCATTATTGTGTTGCTATAATTTAAAGACGAAATTTGTGACAATACTAGTAAAGCAAAACCTGTATAATACCTATAACAGTGCAGTAAAATTCGTTAGTTGGGGTTGCAGTTATGGATTGAATGCATTACCGTAACACTCGGTACTAGCCAGCTATACTGGACAAACACCATAGCATGCAACGTACCCGATCCCACTTTTCAGTAAAACTTTTGTGAATTATATAAACCCTGGAAACTCCACTTATAATGACAGTTTTGGCAAGGTGTCTTTTTTTGGAGTGGCACAAATTTTGATTGTCACGGAAACATTCAAGTCAAATTTCATTTCGCTATTCCCTGTTGTCTCATCTCGATGGCTTCTTCTTGTGTTACTGAATGTTGAAATTATGACAAAAGTGCCTTTGCTTTATGGAGCATGCGTGCCATTTAGATATGGACTTGCCAAGAATTGGATGATGTATAGTAGTCTATAGATATTTATGATAATTCCCATTTAAATACATTGTTACTGACATGCAGTTGTATAGCCCAAACCTCCTTTATATTTATTTTTTAAAGCGTAGTCGTGGTTTCCTACTCACCTTATTCACAGATTTTTATAAATGCATACTTTTGGTTTTTTAGATGGCAGGAAGCTGGTATGCAATTGCTGGAACGCGCACAGAAATAAGTCGGTTTGATCTTACTCAAATTGGGAACCACTATGAAGAAAATGCCATTGGAAAAAAGGACGGGTAACCTTTTATATATATACGGCAGGACCCATAATAAATGGAACGAAGAGATAATGGCATACTTTTTCAAATTCATGTTTAAATACATTATATTTTAATTTTCTATTATTCGAATTTACTATTTCATATATTATTTAGCAGCGTAATTGGAAAGTTAAAGGTGCATTCAAATCAATTTTAAATAAATCAAGATGAGTTGATTTTAATTTGGTACGTACATATATTCATCAAACAACAAATATTTATCATATTGTAAGAAAGTACCTATGTTTTATGGAATGATGACCAGGAGAGAATTTCGATCATTAACTAAATAAAAATGCAGCTAAATTTTGAAAAATTGTACAAAAATGTTCCCATATGAATAAAAACTTTGAAAAATTCCTTCCTGGTTAATTCCCCCCCCCCCCCCCCCCCCCAAAACCAATGACAAAAAATAAGATTATAACCGTTCTGTTGATAAAAAATAGAATCATAACCGTTGTGAAAAGATCGTTTTTATTTGTTTACCTCTAAAACAAAACACTTCACTATTTCTTCGGCAGTGTGTGTACCACGGTCTTTTCGTCAACTGCAATAAACTATGGACAGGAAAACAATGGAGAAATGTTAATATCATTTCAAAACCAAGAATATAGAGGATATTGTAAGTACATTTCATATCGACTTGATATAACTTAATGTTTTTATTGTTTTATTGAGATAATGTGAAATCAACCCACGTAAACAACTGCTAGCCATACGTTCATTATTTACCGAATATGCCAAAATACCACAAAATAGAATCCAAGTTAAACATTTTATCATGAACGATTGCAAATTTGTATTAGAATATGAGCAATTACTATCATACACAAAGAACATTCTACGTGTACATTCCATTGTTGGCTTACATTAATATGCAAGCTTCGGAATCCTTCAACAGAATATGGACATTTTTCTTTCATGTCATGTTTAACCTCGTAAACCTGTGTCTGTGGAAGTCAGATAACATATTACATAAATTCAGTTTAACAATTTGCAACTTGAACAAACTAAAAACGGGTTTAAAATCAATGATAACTATAAAAGCATAATTTTAGAATTAGAGACGCAAACCCTTTACTCTTACGGATGCCGAATGAAATATGATCTATAACCCATCTCTCATTCTTGAATTAGACAACTCACCGTTTATAATTTACTGAAAAAAGTAGTAAATGATTTCAAGTCTTTAACGGACATTTAAATCTTATCATCGTCTGGAAAGTATGAAACTCAAAATGTTAAGACATGTTAAGGTTTTAATTTACTTTTCAGATATTTTCTTGTTTAAAAATAAATATTGTTCAGACATTTTTCTTGCAGTCAACCAAATACTGTTCAGTGCCTGTTCAAAACTGAAAATCTTTTAAGTGGCCTCTGTAACTTTTATTTACATATTCTTTAGACCAAGAGAGGGGTTAGAATTTTATTTTGTCTTATATAAAATATATGGTATTCATCTCAAGCTTGTAATAACATTTTTGCTTATTACATAGTGATTATTTTACTAACCATGAACTTTTACGGTTGTTGTATACATTGGATACAGAGCGAAACTCAGTGAACTAATTGACTAGAAAAATCTTAGTAATAGAGGAAAGTAAACCAACATGCGCATACGATTTATGGAATTTTTACCTTATTCATATAGCAGCATTACATTTTTGATTTTATACCTATAACTTTCAGTCACTGGAAAAGTAATTTATACCGATTATCAAGTAGCAGTAGTATACCTGTGTGAAGATGAGACCATACATGGTGAATGTTTGCAGTACAAAGTGAGCATACTCAGTAGAACACAAACTCTTGATTCAATGGGGCGTTCATTGTTAGAAGCCAAACTCAAATTACCATGTGGAGATTTATCAGTGAACCTACAAACTATTACAGGTGATTATTTATTGCATCGGTATTGTCTTTTTTTTGATGAATGACTATAAATACAATAGGTTTTACATGTGAAGTAACCCGAACATTGGATTTAGGGCCTACCATTGGCTATTGACAAAATACAGAAAACATTATCAAATATGTAACATACTTAATGTGAATGAATTAATGAACGACGTAATGATTGAAAACTTGGATTAATAATAAAAATGTGTTTTATTCATGTGTTATTGTTTCAGATCATTGTAAAAAGGAACAAAGTTGTCGAGTTGATGACATACCAGCAATGGAAACAGTTGATATACCAAAGGTATTAAATATTATTGTTTATTCCATAATGATTTTGTATATTGACAATTGTAATAAGACTGGTTCTTTGTTTTTTGGTCAACCACTCAAAAGCTTAATAAAATTCGCACAGTTTTACTATATTGAGTAGAACTCTAAAAATAATATACTTAAGTACTTCGTTTTCATTGTTGGTTTAAATTCAATAGCCAATTTCGATTTGCATTTCGTACTTCTGTACGAACAGTATTTTAAATATCAAACATATATGGCATAAATTTAAGTCTTTCGGGTAATCCTCCAAAAACTTATTTTGCAGTGATAATAATTTAACTTTTGTATTTAGGTTTTCGTTTAAAGTTCATAAGATTTTGTCATAAATGGTACTGAATAGACGCATATATTTAATAGAAAAAATGTCCAGAAAAATTATTGCTTTTAAATGGTAACAAGGTTGAAAAAAAAATCAATTCTTTATAAGTTGCATGCGTCCAGAGAGCTTTTCTGGATTTACCTTCATCAGGAACGATTAAAGTTGAATATTTAAAAGCCAATGTCAGACGTCAAGGTCATTTCAAAAAATCTTAGCAACAATCCTTATTTGATATAAATGTACTTAGCAACAATAAACGTTTGCGTTCAGGACTATATGGTTCTTCTTTTCCCACGCATAAATATAGGTTTAAAACAAGGGTGTCAGGGGTCAATGTCATCACAAAAGTCTTTAGTAGCCATTCTAATTATGTGAAAAATTGTCTAGCAACCATAAATGTTTGGGTTCAGGGAGACATGGGAAACCCTGTCTGGGTGTCCTCTCTACATAATCGAACAGTAACTGCTACAACTACTGCTGCTGGCATCCCATACAATTAGTTACATGCTTCGTCAATGAAGAATTCGTCCAAAAAGACCTTATTTTAGACAAGTTTTGGTTAAGCGATGAATCACGTTTTTTTTCTCCAAAGATGTGATTAACGCACACTCTTATACGGGCGTCGGAATGAGCGTTTCGTCCCTGCCTGCATATGGAAATTGACAGATTGGATGACGGGAGCGTCATGATTTAGTTAACAATATCCTACAACCACCAAACAAGCTTATAGATTGTCAAAAGAAATTTCACGGCGTATTTATTGAGACGATATTATGCAGTCACATATACTCAATTGTATTAACCAACATAGGGATAAATGATTCAGCGAACAATGCCCGGCACCATATTGCAAGGGTTCCCATGGATTTCCCACTTCAGAACAATATTAATGTACAGCCAAGGCACTCAAAGTGTATGTGACTGTTTTTTTTTAAATCAGTTTTAGTGTTATGTATGGAATACGTATGTGTAATTCTAGCTGAATATACTTAAGCATTGCTGAAAATTGATTTTAAATACACAGATTATAATTTTTAAAAAAACATTAAGTGTTCTTTTTTTGAAACAAATATTCCTTTCCCAACAAAAACACAATATAGAGACGAAAACCAAAAACCAGAGTTAAACGCAATAAACCCTCAAATAAATTGATATACATATATTGATAATCACAACATTAACTACTTCTACAAAACATACATGTTAACGCCACAGAACAAAAAATTGTCTATTTACAGTTTCTTTTTGTTTCAAAGTCTAATATTCTACGTCATTACTATGTAATTAACGTATTATTACTGACGTCGTCCTTGGACGAATTTGAACTAACTTAAATCTGTACCAGATCAGGTGTTATTGTCTTTAAAGAGGTGCGAAAAATACCAAAGGTATATTCAAATTCATAAGTCGAAAACAAACTACCATGGCAAAAAAAAAGAACACGACCAAAAGAAAACAACAGTACACAAAACACAACATAGAAAACTATCGTCTGGTATTGTAAATGTTAATCCTATTTCGTAAGAACAGACCAAACAAGGTAACAAACAAAACAGAGGGAATTGCATGACTTCCAAAAGGAACGAGACCGGTTGCGTCGACAGAGTAAGAATTTGCTGCTATTCATGCGTGTAAAACTTCATTAAAATTTCATGTTTAAATGATATGAATATCAAAAAATGAAAATGTGTGCGTTATTTTTATTTTCTCGTACAATCAGCGCTTGTTTTGTTCGTCCAATCATAATTGCAGCCCTTTCTCCTTTTATGTACTAAGACCAATACTGATATCTATAGAATTAAAAACAAAACAATTTTTTTTTATTTTAGCTTCTTTTTCTTTGTCATAATAAAAAAAATGAGATTATAAACGAACTTGCAAAGGAAATGATTGTTTTCACGAAATTTCGAATGACTTCTTTAGATTTTAGGCAAATGGTATGACATCATGTATCGAAAAAGATTAAATACCAGTGAATCTGGGGCTGTTAAATTTAGTTTAGCAGAATATGGACATATTCATGCCGATTTCACCTCGCTTGGGTAAGTATTGTTATGTTTATGGGGATGGTGTGCAGTAAGGCATTAAGTATGCAATTTGCTTCATCGAATGATTTTTTAAATTGAAAGTTTAACTGTCTGTTAATTAGCACCTTATCCCTGATTTTTATGGGATTCATGTTCACTGAATCTTTAGTTTCACCTGTAGTTGTTGATGAACTTTAATTCGATGTATTTGTCTTTTTGCGTTTGTACATGTGTTGTCTGGCCTTTAATATATGGCAATCAAATTGACAACCCTTCCCTTTCTGATATTTCTTACTTTTTTACACTGTTGTTGCTCACATTATTTTAATTTTGATTAAAGATTGACGATTTAGTTATATAAATAATTTATCGTCAGGCCGGATGGAACATGTGTTAAACCACCGTTATATGTAAACATGAAACGACGAAATGCTAAAGCAGAGTTTCTAACTACACCGGTTTCTATACTTAAACGACCAGGATTTGGTAAGCATTGAATAACATTTTAAGAAAGTTTCAACCTTATTTATTTAAGACTCATCAGAGTCTACTAACAAATAATTCACTATTGAAATAAGTTTTTGTATATTTAAATAAAACCTTCCAGATGAGTATTTTTTGGTGTATTTACAATAAAATGGTGTGATCGCGGAGGCACGTACTTTGTTATGTGAGGTATTGATGAGGCGCTTTTTCAGCTTCATGATATATAATAAGGCTGATAAATTAAGATGTAATATATGACAAGGTTGCTGATACGATCATAAGTATCTGAACTAATCAGATGTGGTAATTTTAATCAGGTTCACTCGAGGCAAAATGTTGGGAACCCAAATAAATAAAACTTTTCAGAATATCAAAACCAAAACATATGCAAAAGTGTTTAATTTGACCGAACAGTTAAATCGTGTAAGAATAATATTGCTTCGGGAATTCGCATACTAAGTATTAGTACACTGGATGATTTATAAACAAAATTTATGCAAGCAGTGGCTGTTTCGAAGATGGGATACTTAAGGACTTATAGTTCACTACCAGTAATACCGACTGAATGATATAAACGTGCAATTTCGATTCAAATGAGCATGACACGTTTGTATAAAAAGCATAAAAAAATACCGAACTCCAATGTAAATTAAAAAAAAATTATACTTCAATTATATTGACAAAAATTAGGTGAGCAACCCAAACAGACATAATTGGTAAATGGGACAATAATTGAGATCCAGCAGAAAAAATTGTGCTAATATACATCACAACTGACTAAAACATTTAAACAATATAAATAAGAAGATGTGGTATGAGTGCCAATGAGACAACTCTCCAACCAAGTCACAATGTAAAAAAAGTTAACAGTTATAGGTCAAAGTACGGCCTTCAACACGCAGCACCACTTTTTTTTATGAAAAAAGACAAAAAGAACAGTGTTTAAATTAAAGGCAATAGTAGTTTACCAATCTTTAAATTTCATAAATCCATTCAGAATATAAAAGACAAGGTAAAAAACTCGAAAAGGAGCGCGACATGATGTGTCTTCTGACATGCATGTATCTACCGCTATGCAAATCCATATTCAGTCAAAATGTCACTATAGGGAATAAGACAAATTCGGGAAATTATAAGATCACATTTCTATTTTTGCATTTAAAATTTAAAGACCGCAAAAACATTTCGTCAGAGATTTGAGAAAGAAACGTGTCGTATTTTCAACCAATTCATTATGATGGTCTTTAAAAAACAACGCAGTAGATACAAAAGGGACAATCAAAATTCAAAGGTCGAAGAAAAACCGACAACACCATGGTAAAATAACGAAAATAACGAAAAGACAAACAACAGTGTACATAACACTACAACAAAAACTAAAAACTGAGCAACACGAATCTTAACCAAACCGGTATAATCCCAGGTGCTCGGTAGGGTTAGGAGATCTGGTTCAATGTGTGGCACCCGCATTGTTGCTCATGACAAGCACTAATTCGAGTAAAAGAAAACAAAATGTAGTGACGATTTCAGTCGTTCTTCTCATTATCCTGTTGGAGCAATTTTTGTTTTGCGTGTCCAAATAACCACATAACAATTGTGCGATTGTGCAAATAAACTCATTATAGGATGCAAGCGAGAATTAAACAATTGTAACTATTCGTTTGATTATCATACATGTTCCTGATGAGTTATCAATTTAATTTTTATGCGTGTTGCTCTCCTTGAACATTCTTAGGGTCTCGCAAATTATGACGTCTAAAAAAGCAACATTCCCAGTATGTTACGCCATTTCCAAATTTGTACATTAGCGTAACTATTATCATTATAAATTGTAGTTACTTTATTTTAGTACCATTCAAAATATTGTTTACTGATTATGTACAAACCATTGTGGTATATGTCTGCATAGACGTCCAGATAAATCAAGAATGCAGTGAAAAAGGGAAGCGCCTGGCCATCTTCTCCAGAACTAAGTCGATTACATCTGCAACTAAGGAACAGTTAATGCAATTTGTGGATCTAGCTTGTATGAATAGAGATGAAATTATTGAAGTAAAGCAAGAAGGTCGGTACACATATAGCAATAACATTAGTGTTCAAGTTTTATATTTTCTTTTTTTTAAACATCACATCGGCAGTGATACATTTAAAATAAATGAAACGGAAGATTATAACTTACAAAAATTATGACAGACGGCAACCAACAAACACCCCTCAATGATATGGCCCAACCTTGAGAAATGCACATAAAGAATGTGACGGGTAAACATTTCGTGAGCGTTATCTAAATTCTGCCCTTAACTATGGACGCCGATGTACAACAGTACAACAGTATAACAAATCAGATTATCAGATGAATAGGCTACCGTTATCTTGATGATATTTTTTCGTTAAATAATCAAGAATTTTCTAGATATACTGCCAAAATGTACCCAAAGGAACTTACTTTAGATAAATCAGATATAAACGGAAATAACTGTCCTGTCCTAGATTTTGATATTTCTGTTTTACACCGGAAACTGTACGACACAAGGGACGTTTTTTCGTTCCCTATTGTTAATTTTTCTTTTTCGGACGGTGATGTTCCTTTGGCACCATCTTACGGTGTTTATATATCATAACTCGTTCGCTATGTCCGTGTCTGTAGTGACGTTTTGGATTTCAATGAACGTAATCTATGTATTATGGTGAATTATTAAGTCAGGGATTTCGTTACCACAAATAAGTAAAAACCTTTACTAAATTTTTCCATAGATACAACTATTTGGTTTTGAAGTTTGGCTGTACCTGTTGAAATAAAATTGAGAATGGAAATGGGGAATATGTCTAAGAGACAACAACCCGACCATAGAGCAGACAACAGCCGAAGGCCACCAATGGGTCTTCAATGCAGCGAGAAATTCCCACACCCGGAAACCTATTTCAAACGGGATAGCACATCCTAATTTTTACGGAGATGTTGTCAACATCGCCCGGAATTTTAGATATGATAAGGGTAAATATATCGATCCTTTGAATAAACTTATTCTGAAAGGTTACCCATTCAACATTGTATTTAGACCTTTGAATATTGTTTTTATTGGTATACATATTGATTTTGTTATCAGTATAGTAAACTAAAAATTATTTTAAATACATATGCATATTCATGGCTTTACAAAAGAGGGACGAAAGATACCAGAGGGACAGTCAAACTCATAGATCGAAAACAAACTGACAACGCCATGGCCAAAAATAAAAAGACAAACAGACAAATAATAGTACAGATGACACAACATAGAAAACCAAAGACTAAGCAACACGAACCCCACCAAAAACTGGGGGTGATCTCAGGTGCTCCGGTACTGTCGGTACCTGAATCTTAGCATTGCACAAGGTCATATTTTTCTATGACTGTTGATGAATCCTTCACATTAAATTCATTGGAATTTCGATGTGTACTGAATGATATTTTAGTCTTAGGTGTATGACTGTTTTATGAGTTGTTATTGGCTTTGAACTAGTTGTCAGTAACTGCGAGTACTATCAGATTTGTACTGTTACACCACTGTCTCACGTTAGGGGGATGGTTTGGCGCCAGCACACTAGTTTAAACCCCCACATTCTGTATGTGCCTGTCCAAAGTCAGGAACCTGTAATTTAGTTGGTTGTCGCTTGTTGCTGTATATCATATTTGTTTTTCGTTCATTATTTTGTACGTAAATCTGTTAGTTTTCTTGTTTGAATTGTCTAACATTTGTCATTTCGGGGCCTTTTATAGCTGACTTTGCGGTATGGGTTTTGCTCATTGATGTAGGCCTTACGGTGACCTACAGTTGTTAACTTGTATGTCATTTGATCTCGGGTAGAAAACTGTCTCATGGTCAATCATACCACATCTTTTTATTTTTATATTGACTCGTCAGATCGTTACTTAGGACAAAAACAACTAAAAAATGACAAAATATTACAAAGTACCCATCTAAGATAAATGGCTTCTTGCAGCTACAGAAAGCTAGTTCAAAGTCTAATATCAATTAATAAATAGGTAATGTTTTCCCAGACTGAAATTGAAATTAGTACACCACCAACGGATTTAATATAAAATGGCATATGTAGTCTGGAAATATGACCTTGTTCAATGCTAAAATATTAATATCGACTTTAGTTCCTTGTGTATTTACTGTTCTAACTTCTGTTCATTTATTCATAATGAATGTAAACTTTTATTTCCAGTGGACTGTTTAACAACTTTATGAAACGAGTGGAGCACACCTAAAGAAACTTCAACTGTACACATGTATTCACGTTTGCTCGAACACTGCATATAAATTTTTAGACATTCTAGATTTTTTTCTCGCAATAAATAAATAATGCATTCATTCTTTACAATTATATATCATTTTATGCATACGATACCCTCTTGTGTAAATTTGGTAACTTCAGTCTTGAAAGAATACGAGCAATGTAGTGGAAAACATAGTTATCTGAACATTTACTTTAAGTTTGGACGATTTTTATACGACCGCAAAAATTAAAAAATTTTTGGTCGTATAATGGTATGACGTTGGCGTCGTCGTCGTCGTCGTCGTCGTCGTCGTCTGGCGTCGTCCGGCGTCGTCCGAAGACACATTGGTTTTCGCACTCTAACTTTAGTTTAAGTGAATGGATCTCCATGAAATTTTACCATAAGGTTCAATACCACGAAAGGAAGGTTGGGATTGATTTTGGGGGTTATGGTACTAACAGTTAAGGAATTAGGGGCCAAAAAGGGGCCAAAAATAAGCATTTTTGTAACTTCCAGACAATAACTTGTGTGTAAGTGTATGGATCTCTCTGACATTGTACCACAAGGTTCCATATCACAAAGGGAAGGCTGTATTTGATTTTGGGGGTAATTGCCTCAAAATTTTAGGAATTAGGGGCCAAAAAAGGGGCAAAAAACAAGCATTTTTCTAGTTTCATGACAATAACTTGTGTGTAAGTGTTTGGATATTTCTGAAATTGTACTACAAGGTTCCATATCACAAAGGGAAAGCTGGAATTGAGTTTGGGGGTAATTGCCCGAAATGTTTAGGAATTGGGGGCCAAAAAGGGGCCAAAAGTAAGCATTTTTCTAGTTTACAGACAATAACTTGTGTTCAAGTGTATGGATCTCTATGAAATTGTACTGCAAGGTACCATACCACAAAGGGAAGGCTGGGATTGAGTTTGGGGGTGATGAATCATAAGGGGGTTCAAAAAATTTGGGGGGGGGATTTTTTTTTTTTTCCTTTTTTTTCTTTTTTTTCCTTTTTTTTTTCTTTTAAAATTTTCCATTTTAAGTTGGTTATTTCTGTTTTATATTTAAAAGCAAATAATAATGATATGATAGGAGATACACACCAAACAGGATGTGTAAATTATTATATAATAAGTATTGTGCAATAGCAAGAAATTTTCAATTGCACAGTATTGCACAATAGCAAGAAATCTTCAATTGCACAGTATTGCGCAATAGCAAGAAATCTTCAATTGCACAGTATTGCGCAATAGCAAGAAATATCCAATAGCACAATATTGCCCTATAGCAAGAAATTGTCAATTGTGCAGTATTGCGCAATAGCAAGAAATATTCAATTGCACAGTATTGTGCAAAAGAAGATACTTCGTATAAATTGCTTATTTCTTGACCAATTTCAATGGGGTTTTATTCTTGAATTCTTGGGGTTCTTTAATATGCTGAATCTAACCGTGTATTAAGTTTTTGGATTTTGGGCCCCGTTTTTAAATTGGTTCACATTGAGGTCCAAAGGGTCCAAAATTAAACTTTGTTTGATTTCATCAAAAATTGAATTATTGGGGTTCTTTGATATGCCGAATCTAACCGTGTATTTAGATTCTTAATTTTTGGTTCCGTTTTCAAATTGGTCTGCATTAAGGTCCAAAGGGTCCAAAATTAAACTTGGTTTGATTTTAACAAAAATTGAATTCTTAGGGTTCTTTGACATGCTGAATCTAAACATGTATTTAGATTTTTGATTATGGGCCCAGTTTTCAAGTTGGTCCAAGTTGGGTTCCAAAATTAAACTTTGTTTGATTTCAACAAAAATTGAATATATGGGGTTCTTTGATATGCTGAATCTAACCATGTATTTAGATTTTTGATTTTTGGGCCCCATTATCAACTTTGTCCACATTGAGGTCAAAAGGGTCCAAAATTAAACTTTGTATGATTTCATCAAAAATTTAATTCTTGGGGTTTTTTGATATGCTGAATCTAACCATGTATTTAGATTTTGGATATTGGACCATAATAGGTGAATGTCCAATTAAAAATTTTTAAGTTCTTAGACCACATTCATTCTGTGTCAGAAACCTATGCTGTGTCAAATATTTAATCACAATCCAAATTCAGAGCTGTATCAAGCTTGAATGTTGTGTCCATACTTGCCCCAACTGTTCAGGGTTCGACCTCTGCGGTCGTATCAAGCTGCGCCCTGCGGAGCATTTTATTGACAATTAATAGTCTTTCTATGTTAATAAGTTGGTATTATATTGCAGCTTCATTACACCATGTACACGGATAAATGAAAAAATTCGGTAAGGTTGATTCGGCGAATATATATTAATATTTTCCCAAAAGGAGATTGCTTTACTTCTCACCTCTTGTGTTTGATTGTCGACTGTGTACAATCATCTTTTGTGAAATTCATTCGTGTTTGGCATCTTTAAACTCGCCTATTTGTAACATAGTTAGAAGTTATTAGTCAATGATAAGGTTCTTTCTGCAATTTTATTATCCGTCCTGTAAGCAGTTAATAAACGTAAGATACCGATTTCTTAAATGAAATTCAAAAAGTAAATATAACGTCAAAACTTACCCTTCCGAAGCATCTGAGATTACCCCCCTTTTTTTTGGGGAGGGGGGTGGTGGTTGCTCAGTCTAGTTTCCTATGTTGCGTTTTGTATACCTTTGTTTGTCTTTTGATCGTTTACCGTGTTTGGCCATGATATTGTCAGTTTGTTTTCGACTTATGAGTTTGAATATCCCTTTGGTATCTATCGCGTCTCCTTTTCTATCAATATGAAAAAATTGTATATTATAGCTCGAATGAATTAAAGTCCGTTTGGTACAATTATATAATGTGTTATCAGTCAAAGTTGATCAACACTGGCTGCATGCTTATTATTTCCATAATACAAATTCATGATAGTCAGAATTATTATTGTAATGAGTTCATAAAATTGAAATGGAATCATTTTGAACACACAAAGTAAAATACGCTGTGCTACATACACATATAAAATATGTCGTCTAATTCTAAACATATGTAGTGTATCAACGTTATTAAGACTTTTTATCTCTTTTAGTATTTGATAAAGAAATGTATTACAATTAACTGCTTAAAATCAAATGCATCTGAACAATTTACACTGCCCACGTATTTGAGGTTTAGACAAGATATAATAATGTGTCAATGGATTATCTTTATTATACAGTAAACGGAAGATTGAACAAGTATATGATACTACTCATGTATACAAAAGTACAGATGTGTTTTGTTCAATACGAACTTTCAAAAATGAACGTATTTTGTAATTAAGCGACAACACAAATCTTGCAGAGCATTTCAAAATGCAGTAAACTAATCAATTTCTATAGATGTAAATGTAAAAAAATCTAAAATAATTATCATATAAAATATTAAACAGATCTATGTTTTTCTAAGTAAGTTATTTTTCAAATCAACCCACAGAATATACACTACATAGTTCTTATCCCTTAGATGATTTTTCCCAATCTGTCATATAATCAAACCAAAGATTTTAAACCCCCCTTGGCATATCTCACTGCAGTTATCTGTGTAGGCTTGTCTTCTATTCACTGCCTATAGTTATTCTATATGACATCATCGTATTCTAACATTGTCTAAAGATTAGATACAAAGGGACAATCGAAAATAAAAGTCAAAGTCTCTCCATTTAGATTTACATCAGTATATTGCATATTTTCTAACGACGAAACAATTTCGTTAACTGTAGTTACACTTGCTGCCAATGACCAATGCAATGTTTTTGATTATCCTTTATATAAAGGTCTGTCGCTCAACTACGTGTACGGGTGATTAACCGTATATGTTTTAGTAATATAGGTATGAGATCCAATACAAGAAAATCTTAAGGGTTTTAGAGATCAAGAATCAGAATTAAAAGGTGCCAATATATATTTTTCAAATACAGATAAAAAGGCAAAATGACCAAAATAATCAATATTTGTTTCAGCAATATTATGTTGATTTTTTTTCTCCAAAGGTTAAGTCAAGCTTTACCATTTTTGATATGACTACTTATAAGTTTACTAACTGATGAGTTAACATTTTAAAGAATATAGGATATATGAATGGGATAATATTCATATGGAAATGAACAACACACACATACCAAAAAAATCGAGGTAAACACTTTCCTCCTTTTACTAAGGTTTTGAGGTATGTATATACCCATCTTAAAATGATGTAAAAGCCTTGTTCAAAGTATTGTCAAGTGTTTTTTATAATTTATTAAATTGCAATGATATAAAGTACATACATTCGTCTCAATGTACGCCAGTTTGTCTTTTACGTGTCATAAAAGTGATGGACTCTGTAGACAAACAAAATCCTAGTGTTTGTGAACTTCCTTCTGCTTACAAATTATCTCAATCTGATTTTTTCTGTTTTTTATTTGCTTTCAAGTTTTTTAACTAAAGATATATGCTTCGCCAAATTTCAAAACTATATCTTACTCCATCTGGCAGAACAGTGTCGTTTTGTAAGTCTGAGCATCTTCAAAATCTTTGTTTTATGTTACATGTCTAGACGGATTTAGAACTCCGTAAAAAACTTGACAAATGATTTTGTCCCAAATAGGTTTAGTGTTTGCCGCTGAAAGTCAAGCAATCAATTGTCAATTAAGTTATCTTTATCGTTTAGATTAACATTTTTATGCGATTTTACGATTTCGCACACTTGCAAGCTGTATTTTAATGTGAATTGTTTCTAAATCAATAATACAAATATTTTGAAATGCATTATGTAAAAACAGGGTTTTTGGATTATTTGAAAGATTTAGTTAAGTATTTATTTCTAATCAGTATTTTTTGTCAGTCTGATGAGGTTCTGATCGCATCAAGTGACATAACATTATCAGACTAATGAGGTTCTGGTAATACCAAGTGATATACATATTGTGCCCTATGAGAGCTAATTCAAGATCCGTCATTAACCCATAGATGGCTGATAAAACTAACATGAATCAAAATATGAAAATGGAGGAAAGATATAAAGAGACAATTCAATAAACCAAATCGGACAAAGACAGCTGCACTAAGGCCAAACATAAAAATGACGAACATTTAGAC